ACAGTGAGGTCACAGGACGGGCAACCCGACATGGGTGTCCACAGGGAACCGTCCTGGGTCCGTCCTCTTCACATACAGCTCAACCAACGGTCACCTGCAGAAGTTCTCTGATGACTCATCACAGAGAACTGACCCAGAGCTTTGTGGGCTGGTGTCAGCAGAACCACCTCCAGATCAATGCTGGGAAAACCAAAGGACTGGTGGTGGACTTCTGCAGGTCCAAACCCACCCAGCCAACACCAGGGAGTTTCCAGGGAATGGACATTGAGATGGAGACGTCTTACCTGGACGTTCACCTGAACAGTGAACCGGACCGGTCGGACGGTACCAATGACTACAGAAGAGGACAGACTCTGCTGAGGAGACTCAGGTCTGTTGGTGGCTCCTGAGGTCCTTCTGCAACTCTGTGATGGATCAGTCATCTTCTAAGCTGCGGTATGTAAGAAGGTCAGCTGTGTCCTGGGATGTTCCCTCCGTGTGGTGGAGGTGGTGGAGGGTGGAGGATAAATAACATGTATGTTGGAGAACATGTCTTCACCATCACTGGCTCCTTCAGATGTTCCCACCAGCTCTGCTCCCAGGAGACCCAGAGCCTGTCCAGCTCCTCTCAGCACCATACGACGGATGTTCTGGACATCAACAGCCTGGTGGTCCACCTTCCCTGGAACACGTGGGTGTGGTTCTACTTCTGGAACACGTCTCAGTGTTTCTATTCATGAAGGAATCTGTTTCTAGAACGAGGACTTTGGTTTGTTTTTATGTTTTTACTGCATTTCTTAAACTATTAAACTACAACACTGCAAACATCCAACTGTGGGATTAATAAAGGCTTAGCTTAGCCTAACTTAGCTTAGCTTAGCATAGCTTAGCTGAATTCAAAGATATTAAACCAACGATATGTGAATGATGACAGGCTGAGAGTTNTATTATTCACTGATATTTGCTGTTGTTTTCAGTTTTCACAATTTTGACATTTTTTAGGCTCATTGCTGCAGATTTTTATGTTTGTGTTACTTTTTTTTTTTTTTTTTAACAATGTGGAGACGAATCAGAACCAGAACCAGAACCAGAACATCCATCCATCATCTCTACACCTTAATCCTCACTAGGGTCACAGGGGTGGAGCCTATCCCAGCTGACTCAGGGTGAAGGCAGGTTCACCTGGACAGGTAACCAGTCTATCACAGGGCAGAACCAGAATGTTCTGGTTCTGCCCTGTGATAGACTGGTGTGTTTAGAGTGAAACATGCTAGAAGATTCTCATTGAGCAGAGATGAAAGAAGCTGCAGAGAGTCCAGGTCCAGGTCCAGGTTGCGGGCCAGTCCAGGTTCTGATCCAGTGGGAGGCTCCCAGTACAGCGGCTCTGGTTGAACTGGTCCCAGAGTGGGTTTGAGGCCACTGGGTGGAGTCAGAACCTCAATAACTAACAGCTGCTCTGATGGAGTCGCAGCCAGTTACCATGGAGACGTGGCTCAGCAGCAGCAGAACCGAGCCAGAACCAGAACTGCTCCAGGTTTCACTGTTCAGAGGCCAGCAGAGAGACGGAGCTGAAAACCACGCCGAGGTCAGAGGTCAGCTTCCTCCCAACCTTCCTACCACGAACTTTACCGCCTTCTAGGTCTCGTCCTTCCTTCAATCTTTCCTTCCTTCCTTCCTTCCTTCCTTCCTTCCTTCCTTCCTTCCCTCCGTCCTCTCAGGTGTTTACAGGTGAGGTCAGGAGGACAGACAGACGATGTCATTCAGGACTAACTGATGTGGTCGTCATGGTAACAGACTGTTGCACTGGGAGACTGAGGGGGGCGTGGCCTAAAGCGTCTCTGTGACCGAACAATTGATTGATTGATTGATTGACAGTCAAGAGGAAACAAGATCTGTGTGTGTGTGTGTTTCAGCCTGTTTCATCACTCGTCTTATGCAACCTCAGAGCAAACAGCTTCGTGTGAATGTAGAGGAACACCGCCACCTGCTGGACCAGACACCAGCTGCTCAGTGCTTCCCTGCAGCTCAGGATCAGAACCAGCACACTGAGGGTTCAGGTGTATGGAGGCTGGAGGAGCTGCCATCGACCTCCTCAACAGAACCTTCTCTCTCCTGGACAGCTCTGTAGGATCCTGCTGTTGGACTTCTCAGGGGCCTTTCAGAATCAGAACCAGAATCTTTAATGTCATTACACATGAAGTACAACAAAGTTAGGTGCCGTCCCTTCAGTGCAAAGATGAAAATCAAGAGGTTTATAAAAACAGATGTATAAAGAACACAGTGACGAATAAATCGATTTAAACACGAAGCTTTCAGGACGCTGCTTCCTGTCCAGGTGGTGGTCCTCTGATGTGTTGATGACCCTCTGGAGCTCTGTCTCTTTCTCAGCAGTGCAGCTGGAGGACCACCT